ACACGAGGGACCTAGGGGACACCTGGCCCTGACCCCCAACCTCGCGCCCACAGTGGCTGAGCACCTCATCGCCCAGCACAGCGCCATCAAGATGCTGCACAGCCGGGTCAAGCTCATCCTGGAGTACGTGCGGGCTTCCGAAGCCGGTGAGTTGGGGATCCAAAGGGGGGACAGAGGTGTCCCCGAAGGGGACAAGGGCCATGCCGGGTGCTGACGTGGGTCCCCGCAGGCGAGGTGCCCTTCAACCACGAGATCCTGCGCGAGGCCTACGCCCTGTGCCACTGCCTGCCCGTCCTCAGCACCGACAAGTTCAAGACGGACTTCTACGACGTGAGCGACCCGTTTTGGGGGTCCCCGTGTCCCTCTCTTGTGTCCCTGTCCCTAGGAAGCACCTGGGAGGGTCCAATCCTCCGTGGTGGGTGGTTGAGAAGGGGGGGTCACATCCCGCTACTAGGTGCTCAGGACATCCTTGTCCCTCCCCCTGTGGCTGTATTTACATCGGGGGGGACCATGGGGTAGTTTTGGAGTGACAACAGCCTCGCTAACTCCCCCCCCCAATCGTGTCCCCCCCGCCTTGTCCCCAGCAATGCAACGACGTGGGACTCATGGCCTACCTGGGCACCATCACCAAGACCTGCAACACCATGAACCAGTTCGTCAACAAGTTCAACATCCTCTACGACCACCACGCATCGGGCGCCGCATGCGGGGGCTCTTCTTCTAGTGGAGGGGGAGGGGGAAAGGAAGACCCCTCCCCCAACCCCTGGACACCCTCTTCCTCCCAGAACTGTGTCCCTCCTCCCTGGAGCTGGGGGTGGGGGGGGAAGGCGCAAGGGGACAGTCCCCACGCGTCCCCTCCCTAATAAAACGCGGTTCCGGGGCAGGAATTAAGGGCTCCGGTGGTGTCACTTCGTCCATCCCGTGACCCTCCCTGCGGTGGCAGGGCTGTCCCCAAGGGGACAGGTCCCCGAAAGCGGTGACAGGCAGATGGTGGCAGCAAGGGAGCCACGACCCTGGCTCCAAAATCAGTAAGAAGCAGGTTTTTATTAATAAGAAACAGGAGAGAAATTGTAACAGTACCAGAAGATGACAGGGCAAAGGTGACGGA